GGCAGACACAGTTTCAGGTGGGCCATCTTTGAGGAGCCAATGAGAGGACAATAAACATACCCTATTCTTAGAGAAGCTACCAGGCAAGAGAAGGCACGAGTGAGGGAATTACAATGGAAAAAAGTGAACAATTTTGATTTTGTTTTTATTTTAGTGTTAAGCCAAGAAAATGGAATCCTATATAATAAAAGGCTAATATGCAATTGTCCCCTCAACCAGGAGTTCAACCAAGAGGGAGGGGCTGTCAACCACCTGCAGCCCCTCCCCCCCCCCCCCCCCCCCCCCCCCGTTGGACCGGCCTGATTGGCCCGATCAGGGCTGGCCAGCCGGATCCTACCCATGCATGAATTCATACACCAGGCCTGTAGTTATTGAATAAACAGGTGGTATAGTTATGTTACTGTTGTTTAACAAGCCTCCTCAAATCCCAAAAATCTAGTAGAATGAAAACAACATGGATTTTATGCTCACGGACTGAGATGGAGAGCCCAATGATGATGGTTTGTCTCTGTCCTGATGTTTGGAGTGCCAGCTGGGAAAACTCTGTGGGTTAAAGTGACTCAAAGTCCGGGGCCTGAAACAGCTATGCTGGAGGATCTGCTGCCCAATTGAGGGATGTAAAAGTTAGGGAGTAAATACCCTATGGTTTACTAGTATACTCCCTTTGGAAGGAAGGGAGGAATCCATTGAGACTGAAGGTATGGGGTAGGAGGCTGGAAGAGAGTGGTAACAATTTGAAATATCTTGTAAGGGAGAAATTGGGAGTCACCCAAGTGCAAGAATTTCAAGGTAATATTTGAGGCTCAAGTCAGGGTTTGAAATTATAGTTGTAATAATCTGTGCAACTTCCCCTACATGCTATGCTAGCAGCTAAGTAGTCTCCTGGGTTGAGAAGAGTCAGGTTAAGCCAGAGCCCATTCTTGGATATTTATCCTCTTCCTAAATTTATATGTATCTCGGGAAAGAAAAGCAACAGCTAGACCTTAAACAAAGGAATGAAGAGAGGATAACTTACCTAAGCAAAGGGATACCTGGGAACACTTCATACCACCTCTGTGCCTAATAGTGATCTTATTTAGGGCACATAAGGAACATTTTTGCTATCTTTGGGAGAAATTGCCCTATCTCAGGAAGTGCTGTGTTTTGAAGGGGTCTAGTACCAATCACAAGCCTGAGAATTCAGAGGTGGGAGTGGGTTGGGGAGTGGGAGTGAGGCAAGATGAACAGTGAGAGATGCTTGGCACAGATGGTAGAAGGTTCAGTGGTAGCATTCATACTTTCCCTTTTTAGCAGCCAATCCTGCTGCACATCTCTTTGGAAAGAGATATGAAGGAAATAGTAATAATTATAACTTAAAAACAACAACAATAGTGAAAATGCCAAATGTCTTTTCATTAGGCATGCAACAAATACAAAATGCTACACTTTTGTAAAATAGCATTATACTTTTGTTGAATGTCCAAAGGGAGTCTGACAAGATGAGATCTGCAGGGAAATGTTTGGATGTTTACTAAATAATTTTTAATATCCCAGTCCTCTAGAATCTTTTTCTGACAGTTTTAAACAAATGCTCTAAATTTATAGCCTATGTAACCAAGTGAGAACTTTTGTTGAAGTGCATTCCTATTTACAATCAAGAACAAATCCATAAATAGCAGCTGGTGTCTTCTACACTAGTAAGTTAATTGAATTGTTTGTCTATGTACTTGTACACTACCATTTTAACTACATTGTTATTTCTTTTTTTAAAAAAATATATTTTATTGATTTTTTACAGAGAAGAAGAGAGAGGGATAGAGAGTTAGAAACAGCTGCCTCCTGCACGCCCCCCAGTAAGGATGTGCCTGCAACCCAGGTACATGCCCTTGACTGGAATCGAACCTGGGACCCTTTAGTCCGCAGGCTGACGCTCTATCCACTGAGCCAAACTGGTTAGGCTACATTGTTATTTCTTTCTGCTAGTTAATTCTCTCAAAAAGACAATTGAGTAAAGTGATTGTATACACTATATGTACAAAGCAATTTGGTTAAAGTCTTTACTGACTACATTTCAAAGATTCTAAGATGAGGATTATTTATTTAACATTTTAATACTCTACCTTTGAGATTAATTTACAATTAAATGTATGTTATTGCTGTACTGGAAGCATTCTTTTTCTTTCTTAGTGGTCCATAAAATAACATTGCAACTTATATTTCATAGGATTAAACTTTCAAAGAAATGCAGTAGGGAAGTCACAGAAAGAAAGGAAAACTGGCACATAATTAATTCTTAGAATGTGAACTGACTCATCAATATGCTGCATAGTAAGTTCTACCCCAGTGAATTTCTCCCTTATCAATATCACCTATATTCTAGTTTCCCAGTTACATATCCAGTTACATGCCTATTGAGATTTTTCTGAATGATAATTTATTATGATTTTCCCATTCCAAGCCCTAATAGCATTTCAGGAACCTTAACCTTCCCAGCAGAACTTACCAGGTGATCAATAGGGCAATTGCAGTGAATAAATTTTTATTACCAAGTATAGTGACACACCTTTATCTAGACAATTAGTGAGTCATGGAATTTAAAAGTTAAGCCCATTTGTAAAAGATAAAACTAAGATCTACACAGATTCAATGAGTAGATTCTATCCCTCTGTTTAAATGACAAAACAAGATGATTGCCCAAGAGGACATGAGAATAGGTCATTAATTATACTAGTCATGGTTTATAAGGTCAGGCTGTCATGAAATTTCAGAAGGAAACACACACACACAAAAATGCAAACAATTCTCTCTCCCTAGCAAAGGTTTTTATTTGGTTTAATTCCTAAATAGAAAGTTATATGACTGGCCACTTAAGAGGAGAAAAAGAAATTATCTTTATTTAATATATATCTTCTCTTCAACACATCTGTTGACATGTATCTTCTGAGGAACTCAGACTATTTTATTTCAAACTTTCCAAGATTATATTATAAGAATATCTTACATTATATGTGATGATTTTACTATGCTTTATTTTACTATTTTACACCTTGGAAAGAGTACTTACTAAATGATATATTCCTAGAGAATTAAATGATTTTGCTGTTGCTGAGGAGCATTTCAAAACTTCTGTTTGCACCTTTAAATTTGACATAGAAAAGTCCTTGAGACCAATAATCTTTCAAAGATGGGTATTTGATATGACTATCTCAAGAATGCAGCTGTATAAATTTGCCTTTGGGGGACACTTTATAAAAATTAAGTTTATAAGGTGACAAAGTACATTCTTACAGACATGCTTTTATTAGTATTCTGGGGGGGAAAGAAAGGAATGTGTCCAAATTAAGGTCTCAAATCCAAAATACTTGCTGATAAAGCAAAAATGTTTAATAAAACGTGTTCTTCATAGAGAATTAAATTATTTCATTTGTAATTCTTGCAATAGGCTAAAATTGGCCAATTTGATGATCAACACCTTGGGATAAACTTGCTTCTAAGAACAGAATGTGACTTAAGTGGAGTGAACAGAGGTGAGTGGAAACATAAATGAGTTATTGCTCTTTAAAAGAATTGAAATTCCTAAATTATGCCTTAATTTTCATCCTTGATAAAAAGAAGAAAAAGGAAAATATATGTTATACCATATTATTCTGTTTAACCATTAATGGGACATTTCTAAATGTATTCTCATATTATAGTACATTTATTACATAATTACGATATTTTAATTCTTGATCATGTCTCTTCCCAACTATATTAAAATGCCTAATGACAACTGGCCAATGAAAAAGCTTTCCTGCAACAAAAAGGCGAGATTGTGTACATCATTCTGTATAAATAAATGAGTTATGGCTTATCTTGAGTTGTAAATAGTGTTTATTCAGCCTAACAACCAGGAAAAGAAAACATTTCTTAACAGTGTCTTGGAATTTTGTTTAGTTTTTAGTTTTGAAGACAGAATGCAATCATAGTAGTTGTGCAATAAAACCTTTATATAAACCCCTAGGCAGTGTCCTATATCTTTATTCATAAGACTTTAGTTTTTGACAGTTTGATTTGGAAAAAGTTTTATTCATCTACATCAGTAAATAATTGGGGTGTGTGAATGACAGCTTTGACTTGTCAAACTAGAACAGAACTGTGTGAAACATCTGAGATCAGCAGACCATTAATTAGCCTGAATCATTGGGCACCATGATGGTTCTGCACCATCCATACTCTGTGCACATTCAATTCTTTTCTTCCTAATGTTCAGTACAGTTGTAGAGTAAGCACCGAGGAAATGGCATTAACTCTTTGACCACCCTGGAAATGTTTCGTTCATCGTGCTCCCCGAAAAAAAAAAAAAAAAAAAGGCAGCCAGACTGTGGGAACAAATCGGACTCAATGCATTTTCTCAGTGGAAAGAAAGGTGGAGTAAAAGACCAGATTCTCCATCCCATTCGCTTCTTGTGCTTTTTTTAAAGTCTTCTCTTCACTTTTAAAATGAGGGGGGGAAACCTCGGCACAGGCAAAAGAAACATTTGAACGTCACAAGAGAAAGCAAGAAACATATAGAGGCATGTGGTGGCTGTGAACTTCATGCTTCCTCTTCCCGTCAATAGTCAATAACAACCCCTTTCATTCTTGAGCGGGGCTTGGGCGCCGGGCTTTCCGAGTATAACTTCGGCCACAAGATGGCACCGACCCGCAAACAAAGGAGCGCAGTGGCACCGACTTGTTAATGCCCTGCCAATTGCCTGGCCTTCGCGGCGGCCAGGACCCTGCGGGGATGAGCGCTTACTCCCTCCACACCCTGAGTCTGTGTCTAACAATGGGCGCCTCTGCCGAACAACGTGAGCATTCAATTGCATTTCTTTCCGGAATGCCTAGGAAACGCACCCCCGAGGTGCACACCCAAGGTTAGGTGTTTGTGGGGGGAGCTCCCGGCGCGCTCCGGGGGCGAGTCACGTGACCCGGGGATGAGGTGGAGTTCGGCTTTAAGGGGGCGTCTCTGCTGATCTCCGTCAGTCTTTAGGATTTGAGCGAGAGAAATACCAGCGGTTCTTTTCTCCCCTCCCTGCTTGCTCCCTTGCATAGCTATCCTTTTCCCGCTTCGATAGACAGCGGGGAAAAGACTAATCCGACAGAGGGTAAGTTTCAAGTTTACACCTTTTCAGGGACTTGAGAGAAACCGCTCATTGATGGAGTGAAGGGTGGGAGAGGAGGAAAAAGCCCCGAAATGGGCTCCGGGGTCCGAGGTGGGCGAGGAGTCTGCCTTTTTGTTCAGGTCCCGGTGCGGGCAGGTGCAAGGTGCTTCGAGAGACCGGGCAATTCCAGGACTCCGGCCGCGGTTAGGGACGTGGGTACCCGGGACTTGGCGCATCCGCGAGCCGGGCTCCTGAGGATTTCTGGACGGGATCCGAGTTCCCCTCTCCTCGGGTTCTCCGAGGGGGTGGGCAGGTGCCCTAGTGATCTTCCCCGCACCTTGCTCCTCGGCCGCATTTTTCTGGAGCCTCTGCGGGTGGCTGCACTGGAGTTTTCGCGGAGGAGCCAACACTTGGATGCTCTGGGGAGGGTGCGTTTGGCGGGCCATCCTGCTTAGACCCCCTCCCTCGGCACGGGGGGCAGGGAGGAGGGCTCCAGCTACTCCCTAGGACAGTTGGGGGTCCCTGCGACTGGGCTGGGATGGGGATGGACTCCATCCCCTCCCAAGCTGACCCTGCGCTCCAGCCCTCTCTCCCCATTTCCCAGTTCTCATCGTCTCACTCTTTAGCTGCATCGAGAACAGTGATGGTGGGAGCCTGGCTGGGTTGGAAGATTGGGCTGAATGAAGGTGGAGGTGGCTTAGGAATGAATGCCCCTGTGGTCCCCAGGTAGACTGGAGAGAGGCTATGGTTTTAAGGGCTGATGTTGGGCCGAAGAGAACTGACCCAGTGTGGACTCTGCTCGTTTGCTTTTAGTTAGATTGGATGTTTTCTGTTTTGCCAGCCTCTCATCATCATCTGCAGAGTTCTTCCCGAATAGATGTATGGCAAATGTGTGTGTTGGGGGGTGGGGTGGGAGTTAGAAATGAGGAAAACTGGGGGCAATTAACCTAGTTACACAATATAAAAACGGTGGGCGCCTAAGAGCAGGGAGTGTTCTTGGACATCCCCCCTTCCCCCCTTTTTTAAAGAGCTCTCAGATTTGCCATGCCCACCTGCACCCTAGGGGAAAGGGTAACTGGCTAGGTGGCATACAGGCCTGGGGAAGTGCGGAGCTTGTCTGTCTGTCTCTCTGCTTGGATAGAAACCGTAGCTGTCAGTTCCAAGACTCCAGGCTGTCTCCTGACGAAGCAAGAGAGAACAGAAAGCTATCCAGCTCAGTTCCCCACCCATGACTATCGATCAGAGCCTGTTGGTGGGTGACTGGTTTATCAGTCTTCCTTATTCTTTTAAGGCAGCTGTCTGTTGAACAAGCCCTCCTTGGAGAGGAAGGAACAGAGAGTTATGTAACTTATGGAGTTAAACTTGCAGTAACTTTGGGAGGCTGCGTGTGCGAGACTGATATTTCTTTTCCAAAACAGATGAGGTGAACAGCCAGTTCTGAGACCATGAACTACATTTATCTGCCGCAGGCTATGAAATGCAGAAAGCTGTGCTTTCAGGTAGTAGCAGCACTAAGAACAGCAAGGAAGGGGTGAAAGGCCAGTGTTCTAATAGGGAGGGAGAAAGAAATGTCCGTTTGGAAAGGGGCTAATTTGCCAACTGGTGAAGTATGTGGTGTCTCTATTTTGTCTGTAAATGCACATGGCAGCTATGAGATTAAACAATCTTGAATTTTTGCAGTATCTGTAGTTGCATACCTTATTTTAGAAATATATGTTGGAATAATAAATATTAAAGTATTTTTTTGCAAAGATAATGTATGTAAATCCTTTCTCTCCTAGTATTGTTTTCTGACGATTACTTTTTCTTGAAATTATACTAAGGTAGGCTGAAAATATACATTTTACTCAATGGGGAACTGTTTTATCCAATTGGAATGACTACCCAACAATTCACTTAGCAAAGGAGGCTTGCAAATACTTAAAAAATAGTTTTCATTCTCTTTCTAGCTAAGTTAACTTCTTAGTAGGAACAATGCTATTCCCCACAGGAAATGTCCATCAAATATAAATTTAAAGATATTAAAGTAGAGTTTCAGTATATTTACCTAAAATCACTTGTGCCGTAGCCGGTTTGCTCACTGGATAGAGCATCGGCCGGGGGACTGAAGGGTCCCAGGTTAGATTCCGGTCAAGGGCATGTACCTTGGTTGCAGGCACATCCCAGTAGGGGGTGTGCAGGAGGCAGCTGTTCGATGCTTCTCTCTCATCGATGTTTCTAACTCTCTATCTCTCTCCCTTCCTCTCTGTAAAAGATCAATAAAATATATATTTAAAAAATAAAATAAAATCACTTGTAAGAAGGCTATCTTTGTAGCCCACACATTGTGATAGTTTAATAAATGTTTGCATTCATTCCCATACGTATTGAAAATGTCCATTTTCCTTCCTTTCCTCTGCCAACACCTTGGTCTGCACCTTCATTATCTCTCACCTGGATTAATGCACTAGCTTCTTAATGAATCTCCCTACTTCTCTTCCTTGTTCTTAAGTCTGTTGAAAACAGCAGCTAGAGTAACAATTGTAAAACAAGTTACGTAACTTCATGCCATTATTGAAGACTCTCCAGTGACTCCTCATCTTTCTCAGAGAAAAAGTCAAAGGCTGTCCCATGGAATAGGTCCCTACACCATCTGTTCCTCCTCTGTTTACCTTTTCCAGTGCTATTTAGCACACCAGGTGTACAGCCTTAAGGATTTTACATTCCATCCATATGGGATGCAATCCGTGAGATCTCTGTATGGCCTCCTCCCATCTTCTCAGGCAAGTGGAGGCCTTTCCTACCACCCAGGAATAATTGCAATTCCCAACAATTCTAGTTTCTCTTCCTTGATTTAGTTTTCTCCATAGCACTTATTATCATCTGGCATAGTTTGTTTGTTTGTTTATTTGTTTATTTTTGTCTTTCTCTGCCCACAAGACTAGAAACTCAATGAGAATGTCACAACTGTTTCCACTAAAACCATGTCTGACACAAAATAAGTGTTCAATAAGTATTTATTGGATGAATGAATTTTCTTTTAAAAAGTTTCCTTTTTAACACAAAGTGGAACATTTTTTCCTACATACCTGACCTAACTAAAAAAAAAAATCTATTGGTCTTGGCTGGTGTGGCTCAGTTAGTTGGGCATTGTCTTGTTCAGCAAAAGGTTGCCAGTTTGATTCTTGGTCAAGGCTTGTGGCCAGGTTGTGTAGGAGGTAGCTGATCCATGTTCCACTATCACATTAATATTTCTCTCTCTCCCTCTCCCTTCCACTCTCTCAAAAAATCAATCAGAGCCCTGGCTGGTTTCGCTCAGTGGTTAGAATATCGGCCTGTGCATGGAAGGGTCCCAGGTTCGATTCCCTGTCAAGGGCATGTACTTCACATGCAGGTGCCCCAACCCCAGTAGGGACATGTGGGAGGGACATGTGGGGGAGGCAACCAATTGATGTGACTCTCTTACATTGATGTTTCTCTCTCTCTCTCTCTCTCTCTCTCTCTCTCTCTCTCTCTCTCCCCCCCCCCCCTTCCTCCCTCCCTTCCACGCTCTCTAGAAATCAATAGAAAAAATATCCTCAGGTGAGGAGTAAAAAAAGTAAAATAAAATGGATAAATAGAAATAAAAATCAATAAAGAGAAAAAAAATTACAGTCTATTGAATTAGCATCCATTCTGCTTGTAAAAAGATGGATGGAATTCAGCTACTGGTGTTAAGACTAATTCAGAGAAGAACCTGCTCCAATCATTCATCTGCTGTCAGTCAACTCATAATTATCCTTAATCTAATATTTGCAAGGCACTATGAGGTATGCAAAGTACCTACCCAAAAAAGTTTATATTATAATTGAGAGGAACCAATTAAGGATTTGAGGGACTAAATGACACTTTGAAAGATGGGTAGACTTGGATTGGTAATGAGACAGAATAACCAGCAAGAGGAATGGCAGAGGCAAAGGTTGTATATGTTAAAACAAGCAAAGAGCACTGGTGGACTGTGAAGAGACTGGCCTACCTGGAACAGAGCTCTCATAATGGGGTTATTAGAGCAAGGGGTACAAAGCAGAAGAGAGTGAGAATGTAGAGGTCTTCAGGCTGAGGCATGTACTCAATAGTTCAAATCTCATACCTGGGTACTCATTCACCTGGTGATACTCAGTGAGAGGGAGCCATGAGAAGTCAGAGAAAAAAGAGGACATACTTTCCTATTCAGCTATTTTTACTTTTAATAATGAGAAAAACTCAATATATTTAACATTAGAAAACCTAATGTTAAATATCTTGGTAACATGAAGCATGATGCAAAGTTTTCTTGAGTTCTTTTTTTAAATTATTGTTTAAAATTGTTGATATGTTTTTATGTATTTCAGAGAGAGCAAGGGAGACAGAGATAGATTAAACGTTAATGATGAGAGAGAATCATTGATCGGCTACCTCCTGCATACCCCCTAACTGGGGATTGAGCCCAAAACCTGGGCATATGCCCTGACCAGAAATCAAATTCTGATCTCCTCGTTCATGGGTTGATGCTCAACCACTGAGCCACACCAGCCGGGCTTCTTGAATTCTTAAGAAAGGCATTTCCAAAGAATTTTTAAATTAATACTTGTTTTTTCAAGGTTTGTTTTCAGAAACCTGGAGGCAGGTGATTCTCTCTTGCCTTTGGCATTCTTGAGAGCAAAATTGTGATTACCACCTAAGTTTAGGAGTCATTACAGGTTGTTGCATAGAGGAGAGAAGAACTATATTTCTAATAACATTCACAGTTGAAATCATTCCTAGTCTTTAATACTTTCTCACATAATGTTAGCAACCTTTATTTTTATTACTTTTGTCTTATAAATTCAAGTTGTGGTTGTAAAATAAAAAACACTCCACATCCTAGAAAGCAAAACACTTCAAGTAAAAGTTCATTGGAGACACCACTTAAAAGGCAAACATATTGTTGGTTCATTAAATGTCTTATCTTCTTTTTAATGGAAGTAAATCTACCTGATTTCCTTTATTGTCTTCACATAAGCGAGAAATAAACAAAATTTCCTTTCTTAACATAGGCACAATGGCCTGTTCGTTGACATGAGAAATCTCATGTCATAAATTTACTTAATAATCTAGGGTAAATCAGATTTTTTTTTCAAAAGGAGTTTTTAGTCTTTACAAAACTATGGTCTGTCATTTGTTTTGTTGGTAAAAATGCTGTGAAGGATCAAAATTATAACCAAAATTAGATCCTGCATTGTATCTGTATACAATCTAGAGGGAAGGGAGGATATTTATAAAAATAGAACCTTAGACATCCTTTGAAAGCTTCTGACATATTAATAAACTCATACAATCTTAAAGTTAGAAAGAACATCAGAGCTATCCTACACAAATGCAAGAACCAGAAAATCTTACAGGTAGTAGTCATACTGTAAACTTGGGTGTATAGACACTTGCTACATTTGCAGGCAGTTCATTCCATTTTATTAAACATTTGTTCCTCATAATGATGTGAAATTTGTTTTCTTTTAATATAATATACTTCCTTTTGTTCTACTTCTAAATTGTACATTTAGATATAATTTTCAAAGCTCAGTTTCTTATGCCAGATGCTACTCAGTCAAATATGAGAAGACATCTATACCATTCCTGTTAAGTTTTTTCTGGATTACACATCTTCTATTCCTTCAACAGCCCTTCATATGACAAGGTTTCTTGATGTTTCACTGTATTAATCATTTCTTTTTTAATATTTTTGTGTTAAATAATGTCTGCCTTAAAGAGAAGTTCAGTGTATGATAGAGCTATTATTACAACTTGATCTCCACAAGAATTCTTTCATTTCTATCGTAAGGGAAAGGATTAGGTAGTTTTGTTTTTGTTGGTTTTTTTTTCTTTGCTTATTTCATGTATTTTTCTTATGTCTCAAGCTGTGCATTAAGTTGGTTGTTATATATTCATATTCTTCATGTTTAGGAATGTGCTGATAGTACTATTTATATTAAGATTTTGAACATGAGATTTACATACACCTTACTAATATACAGACCACTCACTATGTTTTGCTGCAACTCAATGTGTAAGCACATCCAATGAAAAATTTTGAGATTTTTTTTGCACTGTGACTACTATTTTTATTTTTTTATGTTTTTAAGATACTTCACTGGGCTACTATTTTTAAAAGATATTTATACAAATTTCATTTTGTTTATTTATTTCAGTGTCTTCACTTTAAACAGTGCTATAAGTTAGAATTCATTTTGCCTGCCCTCAATAAAATTAGTAATGCAGTTGGTCATTTTCTCTTTACAGATTGTTCAGTTCAAGGGGATGAAGAATTCAGAATAATTTTGATAAGTGGATGCCAATATGGGGAATAAGAATAAGCTGAACATTTGATCTACTTTGAAGAAACATACTGTCCATTTGTCTAAAGTGGTTGATAATAACCAAACCAATCAAAATGAATTCAACAATAGTTTTCCAGGTTGAAAATCATTCCATCAACTATAATTTTTCAAAGAATAATTCCCAGTTTTTGGCTTTTGAAATTGATGATTGTCATCTGCCTTTGGCCATGATATTTACATTAGCTCTAGCTTATGGAGCTGTGATTATTCTTGGGGTCACTGGAAACTTGGCCTTGATTGTAATCATCTTGAGACAAAAAGAGATGAGAAATGTTACCAACATCCTGATTGTGAACCTTTCCTTCTCAGACTTGCTTGTTGCCATCATGTGTCTCCCCTTCACATTTGTCTACACAATAATGGACCATTGGGTTTTTGGTGAGGCGATGTGCAAGTTGAATCCTTTTGTGCAATGTGTTTCAATCACTGTGTCCATTTTCTCTCTGGTTCTCATTGCTGTGGAACGACATCAGCTGATAATCAACCCACGAGGGTGGAGACCAAATAATAGGCACGCTTACATAGCTATTGCTGTCATTTGGCTTCTTGCTGTGGCTTCTTCTTTACCCTTCCTGATCTATCAAGTCATGACAGATGAACCACTCAAGAATTTTACACTTGATGGCTACAAGGACAAATACGTATGCTATGATAAATTCCCATCGGAATTTCATAGGTTGTCTTATACCACTCTCCTCTTGGTGCTGCAGTATTTTGGCCCACTCTGTTTTATATTTATTTGCTACTTCAAGGTAAGAAAATTCCTCCCTCCCTCACCATTTCCATTTTTTATCTTCTTTTGAAAGAATTCTTCATTAAATGAGTGGTTCTGTTTGAACTCACTTTTTTTTTCCTTCCCTCTATAGATATATATACGCTTAAAAAGGAGGAACAACATGATGGACAAGATGAGAGACAACAAGTGCAGGTCCAGTGAAACCAAAAGAATCAACATCATGCTGCTGTCCATTGTGGTAGCATTTGCAGTCTGCTGGCTGCCTCTTACCATCTTTAACATTGTGTTTGATTGGAACCATCAGGTTATTGCTGTATGCAACCATAATCTCTTCTTCCTGCTCTGCCACCTCACAGCAATGATATCCACTTGTGTCAACCCCATATTTTATGGATTCCTAAACAAAAATTTTCAGAGGGACTTGCAGTTCTTTTTTAACTTTTGTGATTTCCGGTCTCGGGATGATGACTATGAGACAATAGCCATGTCTACCATGCACACAGATGTTTCCAAGACTTCTTTGAAGCAAGCAAGCCCAGTCGCATTTAAAAAAATCAACAACAACGATAATGATCTGAAACTGCTGTAGCCTATGGTTCCAGCTCACATCTGTTTTGAAACAAGCACAACCGGCAACATCTTTTATTGCCTGCTCAACCAAGGAATGGGGTTGAACTCATTGAGGAAAGATGAAGATCTTCCTGTGTTGATTTTCACTGCTTTTCTTGTAGTTGTCACAATTACATTGGGGGGAAAAAAACGTATGGGCTTTGGAATCTTCTGATAAAAGTTTTGACCAGACATCCTTGAAATGCTTTTTGTAAATTTATGCATATACTACAAAAACTTTTTATATTGTATTTGTTGGAATGAACTTTCTTTAAAGTATTACTACTAACAACTTTAGAAGCACTACATCTGATATTCTCATTACATTCTTGATTAGATTGTCACTAGGTTGGATGATCCTGATGTAATGATAGGCATCATTTCAGTCTGTTACAGAGGTGACAGCATGCAAATAGCATCCAGGATGTGGAGGTAAAAGAGAGTCTATGTCTTGCATACCTATAGTCTAAAGTCATTCAGGAGTTATTTGTTGTTGTTTTTTTTTAATTTTAAGCAGGATTTAATTTGCTTCTAATTATCACTTATACAAGTATACTTCTCTGTGAATACAATGGGGGATTGGGCCACCCACAAGAGTTAAGTGGGAAAACAGTTCCCTAACTTTAAAACTGTTTTGGTACCCAACAATCAAAGGATTTCAAAGTAATTAGTTTGAATTATATTTATTTGAATTGATGGTCAAAGGGTTTTCCATTCTTCACAAACTGTTCAGTATTTGCAAATTGTCAAGCTTTCTAGCATAAATATACCTGCAATTCAAAAAGCATTTACAGCTTACAATTTATAAAAACACTAAGTGTATTTATCATATATCAGTGTCCATATAGTATTTCATTTTTACTTTTCAACGTCCATCTTCAAAAAAAGACACCAAGATACAATGTTAAAAGAATGTTCACCCTGGCTAGCAGGGATAAATACCTGAAAGCTGAAAACACTTCATATAGCCCATGTTGATCTGTATAAACTATGTGGAGTCTTTTAAATAATGCACTATATAGAATCTTGAGTAGTTGTGTCATGTTAATACACTTAATTTCATGTATCCTGTAATCATGATTGAGCCTCAGAATCAGTTAGAGAAAAGATATTTTAAAGAACAAGACATATCTTTGATGTAGTATACACACAAAGTATTAAATGTGTTTATTTTAGAAGGGTAGACATTTTCTTTATTAAAATTGTTTTTGCTTTTTCTGAGTCTCTTTTGTGTTTCTCTGCAGCTTATTTTCTTCTTCTTTTTTGTGGTTTTCTTCTTCCCTCCCATGGTGTTCCCATAGCATCCTATATCTGCTTGAGAATGAAACATTTTCTACACTGTGGTATAACCATTGATGGCCCAGTCTTCCTTTGCTTCTTGAAGACAGGACAGTTTTACATGAGTCTATGTCCCCACTGCATCTAGCACAGTGACAGGTACTTAGAAGTTTTTAAATATATATTTCTAAAACACACACATGAATAAGTAATGACCAAATTCCCTTCTCATTTATGAGCATATTGACTTTATATCCTGACATTTACTTGGACTCGTCCTCCTAAGTTCATCTTTACCAAGGAGGTGTTTTCTCTTTTATTAGTTATTTTCCCACTAAACTAAGCAAAAAGGACAACAGTGTAGATTTTAGAAACTTGAATGATTTGTCATGTAAGTCAAGCAAATAGCAAACCTTTAATATTGAATGTAACCTGAATTCAAATTATGCCCAAGAATGACTTTTAGTTAACTGAACAAGAAAAAAATTCTAAAACAAACTGTGAATATATAAGGAAAAAATAAAGTTTTTCTTACCAAAACCTGGAATTTAAACTACGTGATGTTTTTCTGCTTTGAGGGTTTAACAGGAAATATTGTCTTTCTCTACTTAGGTGCTACTTGAGAAAAGCCTTAATACATAGGTGCTTTTTTGTAAGCACGTTTGCTAAAATGGCCATTTCTAGGATTTTCATTCAGCTCTGTAGGCTGCTGATTCCTTAGCTTTACACAATTAATGAACTGAATATCAAATTCTTCTCTTATCCAAACCTGTCGACGAACTGTTAGTAAAGTCTAGGGTCCATAACAGATCCATTGTAATTCATGAAGAAATAAATGCCCATGTTAACTACAAGCTACAGAACCACTGGATTTTCATAAATCCAAGAACAAAAGTAAACTATTGACTTAATACAAGAGCATAGTTATAAGATAACATAAGTTTGGAATAAAACGATCATAGCTAGACTTGTTAAACACTCAGTATGTGCTAAGTACTATGTCAAGTCCTTAAGTACCTCTGAGGATGTGTGACTAATATTTGGCCACTTCACGTAAGAGGAAACTGAAGCTCAAGTTGAAAAATTTGAGCTACACACTGAGCAACAAGTGGAGCAGAAATCAAATGCAGGTCTGTTTAGTGCAGTGACGGCGAACCTTTTGAGCTCGGCGTGTCAGCATTTTGAAAACCCTAACTTAACTCTGGTGCCGTGTCACATATAGAAATTTTTTGATATTTGCAACCATAGTAAAAGAAAGATATTTTTGATATTTATTTTACATATTTAAATGCCATTTAACAAAGAAAAATCAACCAAAAAAATGAGTTCGTGTGTCACCTCTGACACGCGTGTCATAGGTTCGCCATCACTAGTCTAGTGTGAGTAAATGAATCAATGAGCTGAACCTAAGATAGTTTTAGAAAATATTTTATTTTATGTCTTTACAAGTTACATTATTAGAGCATTAGTGGCCCGGTGCATGGATTCGTGCACATTGAAAGGAAATTAATTAGAAGGTGGCCGACGGGTGGGACTTGCAAGACGGACTGGACACGCCCTGGAGCCAACCTCCTGCAGTCCCTCCCTGGCTGGCCGCACCTGGGGTGGCACCACAGCTTGAAGGGCATCTGGGGAGTGACCCCACCTCTGGCAGGTGGGGTCCCTCGGCCTCGCCTGTGGGGATTGGGCTGAAACTGGCTCTCAGACATTCCCCTGGGGCTCCTGGAGTGCAAGAGTTGCTATAGCTGGGCATCTCCTGCGTTCAGCGTCTGCCCCCTGGTGGTCAGTGCACTTCATACTTACCAGCCAGGTTGGCTGGTCGCTTAGCCATATATATATACTAGAGGCCCGGTGCACAAAAATTTGTGCAGTTGGGGGAAGGGGGAGTCCCTCAGACCGGCCTGTGCCCTCTTGCAGTCTGGGACCCCCCAGGAGATAACGACCTGCTGGCTTAGGCCTGCTCCCGGGTGGCAGAGGGCAGGCCCAATCCCTAGGTGCAGCCCCTGGTCGGGCTCAGAGCAGGGCTGATTGGAGAGTTGGGGCGCCTTCCCCTGTCATGCACAGAGCAGGGCAGATTGGGAGGTTGCAATGCCACCCTCAGTCACGCTCAGGGTAGGGCCGATTGGGGGTTGGGGCACCGCCCCCTGTCACACTCAAGGCAGGGTTGATGGGGAGGTTGCAGCACCACCCCCTGTCACGCACAGAGCAGGGCCAATCCGGGGGTTGGGGAGCTCCCCCCTGTCATGCACAGAGCAGGGTCAATCAGGGGGTTGGGAGCTCCCCCCTGTCATGCACAGAGCAGGGCTGATCAGGGGGTTGAGGAGCTCCCCCCTGTCACTCACAGAGTAGGGCCAATAGGGGAGTTGGCACACCGCCCCCTGTCACACTCAGGGCAGGGCGGATCAGGGGGTTGGGGCGCCGCCCTCTATCACCCACAGAGCAGGGCCGATCAGGGGGTTGGGGCGCCGCCACTCTCATACTCAGGGCAGGGCCAATGGGGAGGTTATGGCTCTACCCCGTCACACACAGAGCAGGGCCCGTGGGGGGCGGGAGGTTGTGGCCCCTCCCCCTGTCACACACAGAGCTGCAGGGCGATCAGGGGGTTTGGGCGCTGCCCCCTGTCACGCTGATCCTGGTGCCAGGAGGCATATTACCCTTTTACTATATAGGATAGAAGCCTGGTGCATGGGTGGGGCTGGCTGGTTTGCCCTGAAGGGTGTCCTGGATCAGGGTGGGGGTCCCCACTGGGGTGCCTGGCCAGTCTGGGTGAGGGGATGATGGCTGTTTGCAGCTGGTCACACACCCTTCAGGGTGGGGGTCCCCACTGGGTTGCCTGGCCAGCCTGGGTGAGGGGATGATGGCTGTTTTCAGACTGGGACTGAAGCTCCCAACTGCTCCTTTTTTTCTTTTTTTTTTTTTTATTCTGGGCCAGCTTTAGCTCTGAGGCCTCAGCTGCTGAAAACAGGTTTCTGGCCTTTGTCTACCGCCTGTATTTGATACAATGTTGCGGTCCGGCTGGCTGAAGCTCCGCTGAGTAAAGCAGGTTTCTGGGTTTTTTTTAGCTTCTTTATTCGCAACATAGTTGCTTAGAGTTGCAGCTGAGAGGCCAGCAAGTCAGGCGGGGAATGTTGGAGTTCTCCGTCACTGAAGCAAGCAAGCCTCCCTGTTCGCATCAGCTGCCTGGCTGCCGGCCGCCATCTTGGCTGCCAGTTAATTTGCATATCTCGGCCCTACTCTGTGAGTGACAGGGGGATTAGCCAATGGGAAGGGAAGTGGTCATACGCCAATTACCATGTTTCTCTTTTATTAGTGTAGATATATGTGTGTGTGTGTGTGTGTGTGTGTGTGTATACCACCCACTTCCTTTCTGATTTTAGCTGCCATAGGAAATGGAGTGAGGTGGAAGAGTTGAGAGAAACTGGCCATTATGATTATTTGTTTCCACAATTCCATTTTGAATTGGAGGATTCTACTTAAAAACAGAAGTTGACTATTCATATTAGCTTTATTATTATTCATATTATTTATTGTTAACTGGATATTCTCATCTCCTTTTTTATTGCACAACCGTCCAAAGAAATATACATGAATGTATATTATACTGTAATTTCAAAATTTGACAGCCAAATGCATATTTTCCCAATGAAATTGTTTCTTTACACACACAGCAAAAGTGGTAGAAGTGGTGGATTTAAGCTGGGGTTATAAGGATAACTTGGGCCTTGTTCCTTCACTGCAATTCAGTGAGTTTATGGGCACTGCTAAGTCCTTCATCACAGCCAGGCCTGCTTTTCTCAGCAGTTTAGGATTCTGCTGGAGAATGTATTGTTCGGGGAGACACGAATTCTTTCACAGGTTCCATATTTTCTTCATCTACTTATCCCTCTGGTCCATCAAACACCACGTTAGATTTAAGAGTCTGAAGCCTTCCAGCTTTCTAGGGCAAATTAATAAGATTTCCTAGATTTCTTTCATTTAATGATTCCTTTATTGCATATTTGTGTGTAAGTGTGTGCAACACATTGCATGGGTATGAATACATACACAGAAATGTATAATTCAGCAATGATTTATTGCTACTCATTTCCTGACTTCTTATAAAAACTATCACCTATATAGCACTATAACAACTGCCTTATAAAGAACTACTATTGTTTTCCTCATTTCACAGAGAAGGAAAATGAGGCATAGAGAGGTTATGTAATTTGTCCAATGTCACTGAGCTCCTACATGACACCCAGGATTTAAATCCAGGCCATTTGGTTTCTGACCAGGAGTCTTTAACCTACACTGAAAACCTTCCCAACATGCCATACTGCCTGAATTCCCAAACCCTCCCCCTCCAATCTTTCCATTATTGGAACGCCTCAGAACCTCAATATGCAGTCCAGGCCTGCCCCAATTCTAATCAATCTCAGAAGGGTGAAAAGTAGATATTTTTCAAAGCTGTCCTCTGAGTTCCAACACAAATTCCTAATTATGGTAACTTAGGCACAGCTGCAGTATTGAGACACAGATCTCTGCCACCCAAGGATGATCAGTCCACACCTGTATTCCTTTTCTCCAGTTTTCTATCTCCTCTGCCTTTCTGGTTTCTACAATCTCTAGTTTTTCTAGTTTTTCTGGTTTCCCAGCCAATGCCTGAGTCATCTTCTAGGATTATTTTCCCAATAATGTTGGAAGCCGATCCACCCTGGCTGCTTGAGGCAGTCCCTGCAGGGATGTTTCAAGGAACCTTGAAATGGAGATGAGAAACCACCCTAGCCTTTGGAATGGAATGGATGGGATTAAGATCAAATAGGATAAATGCAGATGTAAGAGGACAATCAGGGGAGGAACCTGGCTAGGAGAAGAAAGGTTGTTTCCCCAGGTGGGGATTTTTACCAGTAAAACCCCTTAA